GGACTAATAACCTTAGCCTTTCACGCGTCCGGAATCACTAACAACTAATCACACGTGTTCCCACTTTCATTTACATACAAACTGCGGAATTAATAAAGAGACCACAATGCTCCATTCAGCGACGAACTTCTCGTGACAGAATCTCCTCTCCTGCGAGATATGTTTTATCCAAATAGGTGAAGTCAGTAGTGTTACCGATTTTGACGGTGAACATTGCTAGGATACTAATAAGCAAACTTCGCGATTCGCCTTATGACCTGCCGGATGTCTCATTTGTTCATGACTAGAATGTTAACCCACTGCGCAAAGAATATGGAGACCTGAATGCGCTTTCGGGACAGTACATTTAGAGGCTCTACACTTCTGCAAGATTCTATGTGATTTTACCACACTTAGCAAAATATTTAGGCGAAATGAGAGTGAAATAATGAGGTGAAAGAAAGAATGCAATCGATATCTGTATATCGAACAATACTTAGTAGTTTTTGTAGAGAATCACGGGGCTAAATAGTTTCGTTGTCAGTTGCAGCCGTCGTCGTAACTGAAATCGCCATAAAGTACTCGGCATTTGGCTGTTTGGGATGTATGGCTAATTGGTAATGACGGTAGAAAAAAGTATCATTAAAGAAGGAGTCTGAGATAAAAATGTATGCTTTTTAGATTTTCCTATTAAAATTAGGGAATAAGGGAAACTAAATGGGCTTTCAGGATCACGTTTTTCAAATTGTTCTATTTTTTTTTTATTTTTTTCAATTAAATCTTAATTACAAATTAACTGCAGACACACTCAAATTAAAGGTTTTCAAACATTAATGTGGTTTGAAGTCGCATTCAGAGTTAGCGAACATGACAGACCATCAAATGCAAATTAACCATTATTTCGTATATTCACATCCATTTCGCACGTTGAACGTAATTTATCATTCTGCGACCGATTTCGCTTTTTATCGCGGATTCAAAACCATCAGATATATATTACAATGTCCCTTAAACATTCAATTACTCATTTTTTCAGCGTTTGGTAATATTTCGTATTTTTAGCAAGTGCTAATGTATCTACTAATTGAACATAAACGCATGTGCTCCAGTTTCGACGTATTTTTATTTAAAATATTTAGTCATGAAAAATTATTTTTTGCTAAATATTTTTTAATATATTTCTAATGGCTTTGGCACACTTCGCTTCTAAAAGCAAAACTAGAGCTGCAAGAGAATGGCACAGCCTTTCTAGTATTAATTATCTAATCTCTCTGGCCTGGTCTAGCCAGTTTGAATCATTCTACCCCCAAATGCCTAAAATATATTTTTTCACATTATTGCAATTCTACTTTCCCATGCCCTAAAAGTAGAACTGAAATATGAGTTTAAGAATTTTATAGAACAGTAAAACCCCCTCCTGTGAGTAAATTTGTCTTAAAAAATTGATACTTCTATTTAGAAATTCTTATTTTATAAATTGTCCATTTTTAACTCAACATTATGGAAAAGTTACTAGAGTTATCAAAAAATGGAAATGCAATTAATTAAAGAATTAAATTTTGAAGACGTATCTATCTTTATTAATGGTTGAGAGGCTCAAAACATTTCAATGTCTTGCAATTTGAAAAAAAATCAGTTAATGGTGGTAATTAGACCTATACCATTCTTGAAAGAGTATTTCACTCTACTTACAAGAAATTTGCTGTAAATGGTGTTTATAAAGAAAGACAAAGACTCGCAGACAAACAAACAGCCACGCAGACAAACAAACAGCCACGCAAACAAACAGCCACGCAGACAAACAGCCACGCAGACAAACAAATAGCCACGCAGACAAACAAACAGCCACGCAGACAAACAAACAGCCACGCAGACAAACAAACAGCCACGCAGACACACAACACGTTAATGCAACAATGAATACTCTAAAAAGCGAAATTGTATGAAAACCGAATTTACATTAATTAATCGTTCAGAAAATCTACCTTCTCATTTTTCACTTTCTCCCTACGGATTAGAAAGAAAGTTATGGGGGAGAATTCGGAGCAGGTTCTCACACGGGTTGGTTGTCACAAGTTTTCCATTCTCAGTTGCTGCTGATTCCTGCCGATGTAAACTGAAACCACAGTACTATCACATCACTCCAAGGTGGCTTACGAGGTTTTTGAGTTCACGGCGATTGTTTTCTAAATGTTATTGCTATTTTTGTTTTTCAGTCCTAAGTATTCATTTATTAATGCTATTAACGCTCATAATTCACACTTTCTATTCCACAAAATTTGGATTCCAACTATTTAGTATTATCGGTTAGCTTTTGCACGTAGTTATTATGTAACAACATTGTTGTTAAATGTAATTTTGTGTTTCCAACTCAGCTTTGGTTCAAAATGTTGTGCGAGGTTGCTTGTCACAAAAAAATGCGGGGATAGTTGTCATTGTGACAAACTCCCTCGGCAGGTCCATTGATTTGTTCATATCGCTTGTTTCAGTTATATAAATTTAGAAACTATAAACAAAAAGAGGAGAGGTTGCTCCAGACACATTCCTTGCAGAAGTGAGGAAGGTTAAAAAGGATGGATTATCAATATGTAAAGCTTCAGCTGATTATCAAATCAATTATCGAACTTTAGCAAGATGTAAGATATTTTCCCAAGAACAAATTAATGATCAAGCGATAGTTCAGCCATCCACCACTGCTGATTATTTTCCCAAAAAAGGTGTTTTGAATGTTTTTTGATGACGTCCAGAAGAAATTAAAGCAATGTTCTTCAAGCAGCTTACGTTTACTATGGTTTAATCCCGAAGGTAATAAAAACATTGGTTAAATAAATTTGCGTGGCAAATTCGATTACATGCCCTAAATCTTGGCAAGAGAGTAGGTGTGCCGGAGATGACTAGTTTGCTGATTTTTTACCAAGGCATCCAACTCTTTCGTTACGAAAGCCAGAGGCAACACGCGTAGCACGAGCTTCTAGCTTCAACCGAAGAAATGTGGAATATTTTTTTCAATATAACTTGAAAATGGTTCTTGGAAGACATAATTTTCAACCTCAAGAAATTTGGCACACGGACGAAACGGGTGATATTTCAATGCAGATGCCAGATAGAATTGTTCGTGAAGGTGATAAGCAAATCTGTGCACTAGTTTCTGGTGAAAGAGGCTCTCTAGTAACTTCGACTTCTGCAATTGGAAATCATATTTCACCATTCATTGTGTTTTCAAGGACCAAATACTAAAAGCGCTTTATAAATAACTCGCCTGCTGGTTAAAGTCGTTAATATGGATTATTGCTTTATCAACAACATTGTTTGATTTTTCTTTTCTTAATACAAATATTTTTCCCTACCAATGAATGTATTTTTTCATCATAACTAGCCCATGACAACTAATCACATTGTCTGTGACAATCAACCCTTATCGGCGCAGGTTGTGTCAAAAAATTACTCCGACAGAACTCTTTTTCTGACTAGCCAAATGTTGTTATGACTTCAAATTTGTGGGAAAATTTAGCGATATTATGCAATGCTTTAACAGAAAAATAACCTATAAACACAGCCTCTTCAATAATCTAAGATGTGACAATCTGCCCCGGTCTCCTGCAATGCTGCGCGAAAAAAACGGCAAATTTTAGACAGAAAAATGTTTATTGCCTGGCCCTGGTAACGACATTGTAAATAAATCCAGTTGCTAAATTTAGAGAAAAAAATCATTTAACACGTGATGTAGCCAGAATCTATTGAAAATCCGTCCGTCCGTCCACGCCAGCGGTTAAACCGTTCAGCCTATTTTCTTTAAAATTTGTATTCTACAATCGAATTAGCTGATTTCGTGGCTTCTTCAATTTGTAACAGATATTTAATTTTTGGGCGTTACTTTACATAAAACCTCTGATTTTCAAAATTTGCAAAAAAAAATGCCTCCAAACTTTTTGATTGTGTGTTTGATTGTGGGATAGTGTGGAGGTCGTTTAGAAGAATGATGCAGGTCTGATGTTAGTTGAAAACACTGATTTATCGAAAAATGAAAAAGTTCAATTTTTTTTCAGAATTCCTACAATTAAATCATTAAGGATATAGAGTTTCCCTTAATAAAATATGTTCCTTAAAGATATATTTTGAAATAAGGTCAGGTATCCGTACAATTTTTCAAAAAATTGAGTATTTTTGTGTAATTGCGTGAAACACTTGAGCACATAGATTGATTTAATTGATTTTTTTGCCAAAAAATATGGGAGAAAAAGTACGTACTGTTTTAGCACCTCTAGATTAAATTTTGAATTCAAAATAACGATCAACAATCATTATAAATCAAAATAAATTTGTTCGTCCTTTTGAACAACAATCTTGCTTTGAAATTCCATATTTCTATTTGAATGCCTTTTTTGTGTTCGTTTCCTAAACGTGGGCGGAGTTTCAGTTGGCCACCTGAAGTTTAAGAACGGTCACGGCGATTTCGCGCGCCAGTTCCTCGCAAACGGTCTGCCGCCAGGCAAGCCACCCGAGGCCCGACCTGTATGCAAAGCGAGTGGTGTCGAGTGAGATCTCATCCGTGCCGGGCGTTGCGATTGGCCCAATAAATATTTATGTCCGCGTAATAGATGTAGAGAGACCGGTGTGTGTGTCACAGGACGAAGGTCTGCACTATAGTCAAGACACAAGCAGATAAAAGAGGCAAACTCGTACATGATGCAGGGCAAAAGTTAATTGCATTAAGTTTATGTTTTGCAATATCTGAAAATATTTGTCAGGCGAAGAAACAAAGGACGTAACGTGACGTTGTTCCTAAAAATACCAACTGCACTGCGAAAGGCTCATTGCGTAATTTGGACTGATTTAAATCGTCAAAACCGACCATTCCCGCCTTTTTTACACTGTGGACATTGTTTTTACGCACTATCTTTTAGTCGTCTTTATACAGTACTAATGAAGAAAATGTTATAATTAATAACAAATTTTATGAAAACTATAAAGATAATAACAACAACAAAGCACATAATTTACATCCTCTTCTATGGTAGACACTATATAATTGTTGAGATAATGTGAAAGATGGAAACAAAACCTTGTCGGTAAATTTTAGAGTTCTGAATATTTGGAGGTGTATGTGTGTTTTTGTGTGTGGGGGAGGAAGCTTGAGGGTTCATCAAACAACAAACAAAATTAAAGAAAGGAGAATTGGTACATTTAACATGTATCTGGGAAAAATAAACCTCTATAATTATTTTTGCAGGGTAAGAGACAAATTGCGACGTACCGTACATTCCTAGATTACCTGTATTGTACATTGTATGATTGTCTTGATACATATATTGTCTTGTTATACATGGCTAATTCTGTATATATGTGTCTATTAATAATAATAATAATAATAATAATAATAATAATAATAATATACCTAAACATCTTTTTAGATTGAGGCGTCGTTGTATACAAAATTAATGCTACAATAATATTTCTATAATGTAATTATATTACATTACATTAATGTATATATACGTTCTCGCAGTTTTCAATTTTCAATTTTCAAAATTTCACGAAGTTCAGCGAAAATGTTTCTAGAACTGTTCTTTTAAGCACTTTCTTATACATGTATAAACGTCCACAAATATTTTAGCTACTTACAGAACGAAATTATATAGATGTACATGCAAACACAACAAACTAGACACGGTTGCGTCAGCATGTGTGGTGTAGTGGATGTGTTAAAACGTGTAAGGGGTGCGAATAGGAGAAGTAAGAGGAAAGAAAGATCGCGTCAGGTCCGTGGCCATTTGTTAGGGTACTGCTCGGGCATTCGCTTGGCGTTGATGGGAGAAACCACGGAAAATTACCGATCAGAGCAGCAGACCGCTACAGTTCTCCTCCAGACAGCGACAGAACTCAACGTAGCTATCTGGCTAGTGCCGAAATTGCTGCCACTGACGGGACTCGAACGCTACGACTTCCCCGGCAGAGGCACTGCAGTGACATCAGTTGAGCCCCGCGCCGCCTCTCCCGCCTTCAGAGAATAAAAGTGGTTAGCAGTCGTGGAGAGGGTCTCGCCCGCGCCTCCTGGTGCTGGCCGCGCCTCTCTCCCACGGAAAGCGGTGTGCGGCGGGGGGTGGGGAGAGCGAGGTGCGTTGCGTCAGGCGGAACAAATGGATAAATGCGGAGTTCGAGATCAAGAGGCTCAAATACATTTTTTTTTAACAAATTATTTGGTGGGAGGCAAAAAATGTATTATGTGTATGATGAAATGGGAAATACCCACTATGTTTATATCTCGAGAAAACGATTATATCCTATTTTCCGTCGTACAAAAATGTTATATGAAGTTCACCTGTGTGAAATTATTTGTTTCCACCTCGTGGTAATATACCGGCGTTACATAAATGAGAATTGTAATTTACTGGCACTAGATAAATTGATTTTTTTTTAAATAAGACATACGTCTCTTCACCTACTTGGGAGAACCTAAACTTCGTGAAATTGTCATTTCACTGCTTCTTCTCCAATTCAAATGTCGTTTTCCTCCTTCAATCTCTCTTTCTCTTTCTCCTTCTGTTTCTGACTCCATCTTGTCAATGTTTCTTTTTTTCCTCCTTGGATGACTTTCTACTACTCGTTTCCTTTCTGCATTTCCTGTCCTCAACATATTATTTCTAAATCTATCTTTCAATCATTAAAAATTTTGAGGCCATTTCCCTCCAATTATTTTGGGTCTCTTCTTTCCATGTTATTGATTACTCCTCCTCCAATTGAAACCTAGCAGAAAAATATTTTCTGTCAATAAGTTATATGCCCAGATAATATTGATTTTCTTATATACTTTTTTCATTATCTTCTCTCTTTTGTGGTAGCAGGAAAAAGTTGGTCAACCGACTTTGCGAAGACCGGGTAACACAATATTCAAGAGAAATTTCCTAACTAAGCATTGGCGATCCTATGTTATCTTGGCTGCAAACTTACCTTAAGGGCAGGAAACAAAGCCCCGGTTTGCGGGTTCTCTTAACTGATACATTCGTTATAAATCACAGTAATGTATATCTGTTAGCTAATATTGTCGAAATTTATTCGAAAACATGAAGAATGCTGATAAGCTACAACTTGTTCTTTTATCCTGATGGACTGGTGAGTGAACAATGGCTTGTCGCTGAATGCGGACAAATGCTACGTTATTAGCTAAAGAAGGACCCGTCAAAGTGTTCGATACACCTAGTCCATCGATGATCAACCACTGAAAGCTGTGAGACAACATTGTCCACCTCCGGAACACAGCTCTTGCTTAGACATCAATTTACACATTGATTTAACTGGGGTAAGGCTAAGACAATGTTTTGCTTCCTGATTTTTAGTGTATCCAACGTTCGTAGAATAGAAACCCACAAAGTGTTATTCTCCTCACTGAAGACATCCATTCTGGAATATGCCTTGGTTGTTCGGAATCCTCATACTAGTGAATCATTGGTGGCCCTGGCGAGAGTCCAGAACAGGCTTCTGCGACATTTAGTCTTCTGGAATAGCTCCGATGTCAAAAATGGATCATGATTATGATGACGTTCTCAATTTGAATAAGATACCGAAATTAACGGTCAGGAAATAATTTTATGATATGATTTTCCTCTAAGCCTAGATTACCGGAACCATCTAATACCCCGATATTTTATGGGAAGTCTCCTTTTGTGCTTCGCATCATAGAAACCTAAACTACGAGTAATTTCTACCACCGTAGAAACTGCAGAACTGATATGCTTCTCTAAGACGTCTTGAACAGACTGGCATGAGTTTGCAGTACGGCTTGAGTTCGTACTAGTTAATAAAATTTGTACTATCATTGTCTTTCACTTAATTATTCAGTATAGTGCTATCTAAGTCTGCCCAGCATTTTAAACTACTATTTTCTTAAACACATATTTGTAAGTTTCCATCCTTTTGGATCATTTGAAAATTATACATAATTCATAATTAAAATTTGAAAAATACATGTTAATTTTTATATACATAAAATCCTTGAATTTATATACATTTATATTCATACTCCACTTATATGTATTATTACAAATAATTGAAAATTTCATGCAAGAGTAAACAACATTCTTCGCGGCAAATTAAGGCAAAACTATTGGTGTCTGGGGTTTTCATGTGTTAATTTAATTGCACATGAACATCCTATCATAATGTTCATTCCGCTGCCATTATAATTTCATTTTCGTTTCAATAGGTCAGAGAAAATAACACAATGTGGCGAATTAACAAAAACGTATGAAATGACATTAAATAACATCAAGTGCCCATTTGATTAAAAAAATTGAAGGTAACGTACAGTTTAAATAAGTAAAAATAATCTTAAAAGCTGAATTTAAAAAGCATTAAGTTTGTTCTAAGAGACTGTGGTTTCGTGAATTGTGTAATTAATTTGGAAAAGCAAATGTGAAATATTATTATATAAACTGAGCTCTTCTGGGATGCTAGATAAAAGCCATTGAGTCACGCAGCCATGTTATATGAATCTAATAGTCGCTTGTAAAACTATGCCTTTCTGAGAGTTATCAATTGCATTTTCCACTAAAAGCTTAGATAACACACGCTAACAGACTTTTCATGTTTCTTCTTTCGGTGCTAGACAAATGATGCTGTAAGGTTTATGACCAACAATATGAGAATGCATAAACATACAAGTAGCGAACTATAGCACCGCATCCTGCGAAAGTAAATTTTCCCTCAGAAGACAATTTTCTATTATCATCGTCTCCATCTACATATCTAATATTAGGCTTTCGTATAAACTCTTACAGTGTTATTAATGTTCAACTAAATGTAAATGAATTATTGTTGGTGATTAACATATAATGCATTCTTTCTCATTTAAAATCCAGTAGAAAATCCAAAAACACATTCATAAGAATAAAAAATAGACTTGATAAATGCCTATTGTTTTCATCCAACCCTTCTTCTGTGGTACGTATTTATCGAGCACTGAAAAGAAGGAAGAAAAAATAATTCTCAAACATAATAATAGGAATAATAATAATTATTATTATTATTACTATAATTATTGTTATTATTATCTATTTTTAAATAAGAAACCCACCAAGCTTGTTTCAAGGATTATTTCCCATATACCAGGCAGCAGTAGACTGAATAAAGCTATTTTATATTAACATGGTAAATGTGTCAATGGGTGATATTCGGTTGAGGATTACTTGAATCACGAACATTTTGTAAACACAACATCAATTTGTAAAATGTTAAATATTATAAAGATATCGAGAACAGAAGACTTCAATAAAAGAATAATAATAATAATAATAATAATAATAATAATGATAATAATAATAATAATATTAATAATAATAATTTTTATTATAACAATGGGAAAATATATGGATATTTATGGCAAGGATGACCGATTGCATTAAATCGTTTTGAATAAATGAAGTTCCTTTTAATCCCTTTAAAGTATTTCTCTCCAAAATATTGTCAAATTCCTTATTCCTTCCTTTCATGGCAAGAAAACCTAATACCTCTAAACTCGTTTTTATTGACAGAAACTTTTCCCTTATCAATTCTCTAAAAACATCTAATTTTCTCAAACGATACACCACGTCGATCAGACGGCCTAAACAACTTTTTCCAAAACGCGCAACATTATTATATTTTTTCACCTTGCGGAAATAAATACTTTTGGAAATAACTGTAATTCAGTTTCTCCCAAGCACACGCTAGAAAATGCACTGTCATTTTGACTATCCAATTTGCTTGTTGTATGTTTTGAAGTTTTTAGTTCTATTGTTTAATGGTATGGACGTTTTTACACATGATTCTTCTTCACTGAACAACAGAAAATGAAATTGCTGCAATTGGCTGAACGTGTGATGACGCAATCATTTGTTCCGTAAAATGCTAACACGTCATCGTTTGTGTCGTAGATTGCCCCATTATGAACGATTTCTTGCGAGAGAAAAGGTCGTTTATAACGCTAATATACAAAAAATCTGTTTTCAAAGACAAATCAGCTATAGATTTCAGTTAAGGCCGTTGGGGCCTTGCGAGCGCTAGTGCCCTTCTCGAAGCAGTTATACGTTATGGATGCGACGTCGACAACAAAACATCGACGTTGCCACACATATATGTTAATAATGCATCAAACGAAAACCATGGATGTTTTAAATCGATGTTATAAAGCTTGTTTTGAAATCTCTCACATTAACCAAATTTAATTCGACAGCGTCCCTGTACTTTCATTTATAATTAAAATTGAACTCAAAATAAGGTTATAAAACTCTCCATGTGCAAAATTCCATAAAAGACGAAAGATATACTAGGTTATCAGGATCATCTCGCATGAGAGGTAGTGTGTTCGATGAAGGTAGTACAACATGGTTGGAACACATATGCTGTGGTTCCACCAATTATTATTTTATATTTTAAGTTTTACAAAATTTTGAATAGAAAAAAAATTCATCCATGAACAAAACATCGAGCATTAAACATCGATGTTCAAAAACATCGGCTTCCATATATCGATGTATGAAACAACTATGTTTTCATAGAAACATCGATGTTTTGCAAACATCAACATGGACGTCGCACCCCTCCTGTGCCGCGTTCGCGTGAGAGGCTGGGAGGCGCCGCGTGCGAGCGGCGCGAAAGGCGCGCGTTGCCTTTTAAGGACGCGGGGAGCGCCACGGGCAACGGGCTAAGTGGCGGCGCGAAATATGTCCTCGACGCTGTAGCATCCGGCCGGGCGATCGGTTGGGAAATGCTTTCATCGTGGCGAGATAACACGTGTTACAGCAACAAAGATTCTTTCTTATCAGTCCTCGCCATTTATCTCTACAAAATATCACTAGGCTTTATGCGTGAATGCCATAATGTGCAAAGAAACTCATTTGTACGGAATAATGGCACGAGCAATTAACAAATTTATATAGTAAGTGCATGCATTAAAGTTAATTTATTCATTGTCGAAGGAAAAGAGTAACTTTCAACATTTGTGGGACGAAACCTGCTGAACCACTGTAGCATTCTCTATAAATAATATAAACAATTAAATAATATACCAATTCACAATTACTATTTAAGCAAAATCTCCAGCTATGAGCCTCATATAAATAATATGCCGAAAAATATGAAGCCTTAGGATGCAAGGCGAGTGTGAAAGTACATTTCCTTCATCTTAGAATGCTTTCCAAGAAACTTGGGAGCAGTGTGTGAATAACAGAGTGAGATATTTTAAGAACATTGAAAAGCGGTACTGAATTAAAATATTTTACCGGACTTTCGGGTTTAGATTTTATCAATGCTTGGGATAAATATGACGTTGATGCAAAACGCAATTTTGGGGAATAAATGTAAACAAATTGTAGTTTTACAATTATTTTGGTACAGATATATTGAAAATAGTATGCCAGCAGAATCTCTTCGTTAAGGCCTGGAACATTCCTTTTCGTTCGCCAACCACAAAATAAATCATAAGTGGTTACAGATACTTCGCACGAAAATATCTTCTGATTCTTCGAAATTTTCGAAATTTTTTTTCAATCAGCTTGCATCAGCAGAAAAGGCATTCAACTGTTTGATCACAAACAAAGCATCTAGTACCATCAATCCTTTCTACAGAAAATCGAGAGTAATGGCAATTCTTAACTCATGAATTGCAAGAACTATTT